TACATTCAACATTACCCCTTCAATTTCCAACTTCAAACTGATCACCCTGTCTGACACTCTTCTCACCTCTAAAATATTCCTCACAAGCTCCTCCTTCAGGATCACTCCTACCCCATTTCTCTTCCTGTCCACACCATAATAAAACAGTTTGTATCCACCTCCAATGCTACGCACTTTGCTACCCTTCCACCTGGTCTCCTGCACACACAGTATATCTACCTTCCTTCTCTCCATCATGTCCACCAGCTCTCTAGCTTTCCCTGTCATTGTGCCAACGTTGAGTCCCTATTCTCAGACCTATACTCCTGCCTTTCCTCTTCTCTCTCTCTCTACGAATGCTTCTGCCTCCTCTCCTTCTTCGACCTTGTTGTCCAATTTCTGCCAGCACCCTTGTAGGTCAACAGCACTGGTGGTGGTTGTTGTTAACCCGGGCCTCGACCGATCCTGTGTGGAGTTCACACTGATGATTTGCATGTTTAGATTTGGCATGTTTTTACGCCGGATGCCCTTCCTGACACAACCCTCTCTATTTATCCGGGCTTGCAGCCCCTGTGGCTAGATTTAAACCTTTGGTAGACATGCGATGGGGAAATTCACACCGTTAAAGCAGCAAGGGGATAAATAGCATAACATTAGATGGGAAAGTCGTAGTTACAACAGATATGATCTTAAATAGCTGAACTAGTTTGCACAGTATACATTATAACTGAGTTAACGATGTGAAATGCTTAAGCAGTCTGTTGTATGAATGTTCAGTTTCCCTATTCGTTAAGCTAGCAATTGACTAGAAACAGAGGATCTTTTGTCATAAGTTCTTTATTCTTTTGACTGTGATATTCTCCCATTGGACATGAAGATTTGGACGCCGTAGTCCTGGATATTCAGCATTGTCACCCAAGTGCTGGCTGCAAACTGATGATGGGGCATCTATAAGCCAGAGGGATACAACGTTCACGATGGCTTACATAAGATGATAACCTTGTGAAGTTATGTGTGAAACTACACCATCTAGCAGAGGAAAAAAATAGGATTAGGGCTGTTTAAGAATGAAAATTAACAGGACTGTTTACTTAGTTGATATAGTGCAACAACACTTTATGGGTAAGTAAACATACTTTGTCTGTTGTCAGGATTTCGACTTATGGATTCCATGAGATGTCAGTCCAGAGTTGTCCCTTTAGACCGCGAGGTGCCCTGTTCCAGGTGCAAACTGCCTTTGGCTTATCGATGCAAATCACAAACTAATTCGGTAAGTATTTAACATCACTTTTATACATTTCTCATTCGGGCTAACTGTTACAATGCCTGTTTTTAATTTTAAACACGTCTTGGTCCTGTTCTTCAGAAATGGCTTCAGTAATTTAGGCTAATATACTGCTCCCAGGCTAAAATAATGCTGTTATTCTCATCCAGCTAATGAAGGTTTGATTTGTTGGTTGAAGCTGTCTTGTGTTTGTGCATTAAATAAATGCAAAGAGTTCCTAGATGAAACCATGATTAACATTTGTTTGATTGGCTGAGTTTTGATCGTGTGATTGCAAGTAGGGATAAACAGAGTGGGCAGCTGTGGATCAGGAAGTGTTCTTTGGCAATGAGTGACGTTTGTATGTCACTATTGATGTCTTTCCCCTTATGCATGCAAGAGATTTTTAAAAGATGGTCATTAACCTACTGGGAAAAGCAAATGTCTTTAAAATCTCCTGATAGGTAGCATTGGATGCTTAAGCAGTTTTCAGCTAAGTGAGTTCTGCATTTATCATTGGTCAATAGTTTGTTCAACTGTGACAAATGTTGCATTGTTTCCATAGGTTCTGGCTCTATTGCTCTTTCAGCAGTGTTTATTGTATGTCAAAATCGAGATTCTTTTGTTTTTTTAAGAGGACAAACCTTTGTTTGGTTATATCGTGTCAGGTATAGGTTGTTCAGGTGGGATAAATAAATGAACATGATTCTGCTCGCGTTCTCATCTGTGAGAAAATGAGCAAGTAAACGACTTCCTGGATGCGGTTCACTCCAAATTGTCTTGGTCATGATCCAACTAGTTGTAATTAAGTTGCACTATTGCAGGTTTGGGTTTAACGAATTGTTGCTCAGACAGCAGCTCCAGATAAATTTTAAGCCTGCTTTGAAAAACCAATAATAATAAGAAAAAAAAAATCTGGAATGACGTCAAAGCATTATCCTATTCTGGACAACATGGATATCCACATAGAACATAATCATGCCAGCTCCTTGCAATGTATGTCATCTTGCAGGTTCGCAGTGGAAACTGTGGTCGGGTCTGAGACGGTAATGTGCTCAGTAATGCACCTAGAATTTTCATTCATGCTATTTTTTTTTTTTGCTTTGACAGCTGGAGAATTGTCCATGGTGGGATGGATGCTTTTTGAAGGCTACTTGTCTACCTCCACGCTACCAACACAGCCACAGCTGTTTTTGATGGTTTCTTGTCAGAAGTCTGGCCATATGGCATACCATCACAAGTCTGGTAAGTAAGGCAACAAATGCAGTATGCGTAAAATTATGCTTTCAGGCTCACAGAAATTGGATGACGGTCCAAATGTTACTGTTATTAGATCTGATCTGTGTTGTTTTTTTCCCCAGATCAGACAAAGGGAGGTGAAAATGTGAAGGTTGTTCACTTCATGGTCCAGATGATGGGGTCAGAACAGGAACTCGCGTTACAGGCAGAAGTGTCCACAACCAGCGGTAGGGACAAAAAAAAAAATCCCCTCCACATCAGCCTGAACACCACAGTGTAGCCAGTTTGAATTATTATTTTGGACAGTTCAAAATATATTTACACATCATCATGTTCACTGTGCCTTGACTAATTGAAAAAGCTGGTTCACACAGTGTTTTTAAAAAATGAACAACTCCCTTTATTTGTATGTCTTCATAGCATTGAGCGGCTGTGGTGAGATGTGTATGAAAGTGTCCCGTCCTGCTGGAGGCCCAGGGGCTGCTCAGTCCTGGTGAAGAATCCGACCTGCTCGCACTGCACAGATCATATTCACCATCAGCTCTGGTCACTGGTGGTGGCATGGATTCAACAAGGACTGAACAGCAGGCAACCGTTCACCCCTGCAGCTGTGGTTACTGCACAGAAAGGAAGAACAAGAGTTTTCACAGGTGCACGGAAATATTTGATCCATTTATTCTAAGATACAACATGTTTACTGCTCTTGTGTCAGTTGGTGCACCGAACCATTTCCATATGAGAAAAGTCAGAACTCTGCTTTTATCCTTTCGTTTTAATCAATGTGATAAACAGAATAGATTGATAAACATTTTCAGTAAAACTGGTTTGATACCTGGAGAAAGCTAATCCTGACTCAGGATGTGCAAAAGCAGTTACAGTGGAACCTTGGAGCGCGAGTATAATTCATTCCGGCAACGTGCTCGTATATCAAAGTGAATTTCCCCATAAGAAAAAATGGCAACTCAGATGATTCGTTCCACACCCACTTATTCATATAAAAATGATTACAGTAGTACAAAGTACACTCTGCTTTTATCCTTTCGTTTTAATCGATTGATAAACATGTTCAGTAAAACTGGTTTGAAAGCTAATCCTGACCGTTCTTGTATCTTACGTGAGGTAGAAGAAATACTGTCACACATGCTCATCTTAAAATGGGTAATGTTTTGGGTTGACCGTCACGTGATGCTCGCCAGACAAAGTGTACATACTACTCGTATTGCGAGACCTCGCTCGTATATCGAATCAAAATATTTTCCTCACTTTGCAAAATACTCGCAAACCAAGATGCCACTGTACTTTTAGCTAGTGCTCCATCCACTCAGTGCCAGATGATCGTTTAGCCCCGACTGAGCCTTAAAGCCCATTGTGGACCAGATGCACCAGCTGACCTGACAGGAGGAAACATGTCTCCTGCATTCAACACCTTCTTGTATCTTACGTGAGGTAGAAGAAATACTGTCACAGCCTAAATGCTCATCTTAAAATGGGTAATCTTTTGGGTTGACAGTGACTGTGGTGTGGACAGGACCGGACCACGTAATCACCGTCCATCGACTATGATCACCATTCCTGACATTCAGCTCCCACTGGCACCAGATGATGGAGAACTTGCAGCATTCCCACTCACTCACTCAAGCTTTGGTATTTTACTTTGAAATGGATTCAACGCTGTAACACTTTGAACCCAGCGGCTGCAAAATGTGTGACGATTCTCACTCCTCCTTTTCAGTCGGTGCTCAGGCAGTATCCTGTAAAGCCTGTACACACTGCCCACTTACGGTCCCAGGTGGAGGATAAATATAAATCTGCTTCTAAAAGGATCCTTGTACCATAGCTTCATGTTTTGGAACATTATCACGCATCATGTTCAGTTATTTTCATCGCTGTGACCAGTAATCCACAGTGTCTGTACATCTATGGCTACAGCACAGACAGAAGATGATGAAGCTAATGTAGGACTGACTCAACAAGATGTAACAGCAAATAAAACAACGCAGCAGAGCCATGCCTTTCAGAACTCATTCTTTCCTGTTACTGAATGTTAACAGTGCCTTAAAAGTGACGGGAAGCCAAAAGGGGAAACAAGTCAAATTCATCCCATTAGAAACCGTATAAGTGATGAAATCCGAAACCTTTACACTTATTGGTTTTAGACCAACAAATGTCAGCTACATTTCTGTTCAGATTTCTTTGTTGACAACGTGAATGTCTACTTACTCAAAGGAACTGGAACTCATGCTGGGCGTCAGTATCTTTGTACACTGAATGCACAAAAACAATGGGATGATGCACTGCAAGAAGAAGAAAACAACATTAAACCAGGTAGGTTAGTTAATACATAGTGTACTCATCAATCCTGAACCAAAACCAAAGTAACAGGAGCTGAGAAATGCCTGAACGTCAGTCAAAAATGACACAGTTACAGTAGTGTGCAGGAAGACGGAGTACTTCCTGCCATTTCTCTGGGCAGGACTTCCCAGAGTTGTTCACATGATGCTACAACCAATAACAGTAACATTATTACATATAGCAATATAGTTGGTACATAATGAGTAGCTTGTAATCAACATATTCACTCCCTCGCTGACTAAACATTTCCTCCATCTGTTCAGAGATTCCTAAGTGGTAGCTGAAGATCACTGTGCCTTTTCATGTTTTCTCTATCCATTTTCTAGAAGGGCCAAGTGTAATTTAGTGAAATAAACATAAAAACTGTAGTTTCTGGCCCTCCACAAGCCAAGTGCCCTGTAATCACTGCTCTAATCACTTTTATAGTAGGTTTTCAGCATCTGTGAGGATCCCTTTATGAATTCAGATGTGCACAAAAAGGTGAATTGACACAATGCGTAGGTCCAGTTTTTATGGACTATAAAACAGTCCATAACTAAAGCTACTAAACCTAATCCACTAATTGTAGTGCATTTGAAAATCATTTGTACTGAAAGCTGCACGTCACTTTACTGCAATACCACAAAACCCATCATTTCTTGCACTCGGCACTGGCCCCACAGCTCTGTATTGTGTTACTGACATAACTAGCACAAGATCAACTTCAGAGAAACCTAATTGTAAAGTTTTTACTGCAGTTAACTTACCAAGTTCAATGGAGGACTGAAGGTACCCTGCCTCTCTGCACTGGTCCTCAAGAGCATTCTTCCTCCTCATCTTCATCCATGCCAGACCAAACTATCCTTTCTAGGATAGACAACGTATAACAGTACATCTTAAGTTCTGTGAATTTGTTTACTTGGATTTTTTTTATGTTGTGAGCCTAAGACCATCAGCAAATTTAGACTATTATTTTTATTGTTAAGACTATAATGACTGGGACTACAGGGGCAAATTAGGCGCTCAACTAACCCCAGCAAACCTACAGTCCAGTAATGATTTATGCCAACAATAATAAATGTGCAATCCAATGTAAAGAAACAAAAAAAAATAAATTTCAGATGATACCTTACCTCACAACTGGGAGCGGTCTGGGATTCTCTTGGTAAGAACAGAGGAAGCATGGCTGGTCCTTCTGTCAGAAGTGGCCACACCATAGTCTCCTTGAGCCCTTCCCTCAGCAGCTTGACTTGAGGTTTGTATTACAACCTACACTCCACAAACAGGTGATCAAAGATGATCAGCAATTGTAGAAAAAGCATTTCAAACTATCTTGTGAGCGTGCAGAGGATTTCTTTAGCTTTAAGGAACAAGTGCACTTATTCACATCTTAAACATTGCTGTGCATCCAGATCTAAAAAACTAAAATATTTGTTGAAAATAACTCATTACTTACAGCGTCGAACAGAAGGAGCTCGATTGGTTTGTGTGTCCCCTGGCAGGTCCCAACACAGAGCAAGCTTGAGGACGTTTCTGTCAGTTCAGCACTGCCATCAAGCTACAGGACATTACAAGAAGTTGTAGATTAACAATCAGTACAAAAGAGCGATGTCGATCTAAATCTGTCGATGGAGTATAACATGTTAACATTCAACAACAAACAGTTCATCCTTAAAACGATTACAACTAAATACAAACCAACTGAATGGTGGTATGAATATCAATATCAGGGCAATCCTTAATCTGAATTGTGGCTGTTTCGGGTGAACCCCCAAAAAAGGACATGAAGGCTGCATCATATGCATTTCATCGTGTGTTGTCCATGATGAGGGTGTGTGCGTGAAGTGAAAAAAGTAGCGGCTTATAAGTCCGGAAAGTGCGGTAGATGGAGTGAGGTGATCTGGCTCACCATCAAACTACAGTATCTAGTCAAGTCTGTGTTTCCTGAACAGAGTACAGCAGGATAAACATGTGTACAGGTAGTTCAACACTTATGTCTGCTCACAAAAGCTTGAAATTGTTCATTATAAAAACGTTGCAGAATTCTCTCGTGTATCAACCATACATGCATATGTTCCCAATACAAGTATAAATGTATTACTTAAAGTTAAGATGAAACTGCACTAGAGAAATCATTTTTGAGAAAAAGAACCCCATCACTCCTTCCCCAACAGCAGCAAGAGAAAAAAACAAACAAACCCTATTACATACAGTATAATTATTGACCCGACTATCACAATGCCTGCCTAAGTTGATCTTCTCTAAGAGTCTGAGGTTCAGCACCATTTAATGGGCTAAAAGGGAGATTAACAGAGAGCTTTATACCATTAATATATTAAATAGTTTTACAGCTTTGCTTTGGCACGCCACAAGATCTACAGCCACGGTGTCCAGGATGACAACAGCAAATCATTTCACTGAAATTACAGCATCATAGAAATGACAAGAAAACTCCTACCTTGTGCAGTTAACGGTGCGGTTCCTCATTTTAAGGGAATGTTTGTGTCACAACTCAGGCATTTTAAGAGTGGTCCTTGTTGCTGGAGGGTTGTTGGACTCTACAGGCAATATGAAAAGAAAAACTAGTTGGACAACAGCTGTATGTTTAATTTATTAATATATGAAAATAGGAAATTATGATAGAAATCATTACTCACATCTTCCAGATCAATACCTCTCTGCAGTAGCCTTATATAGACCATTGCTTGACCAATTCCACTCAGATGGCTGTGAAGGTATCTCGCTGTATAACCAGCGTCTGGGATAGAGCACAGGTTACGGCTTTGTGTTGTACCTGAGATTCTCAGTAATACAAATGCTCCTGTGTCTTTTAGCTGAGGGAAGGTATCTTCAATCTAGTCTTAAAAACATCTGGATCATCGTCTCTTCCTGCAAAATAATTACATTACATACATGCATTAATACCTAACTGACTTTCAATATAATGTATAATGAATAACTTGTGGTAACATGTTAAAGATATGACACAAGTAGCATCACCTTGAAATGAGATCCGGTTCTCCCCACGTCCTGCAGCTGGTAGTTCACATTTAACTGCTTCGGCTGGAACTGTGTCTAACACGTGATCACATAAGAAGAAGAATGTGTGTGTCAGTGACGAGGCACGTCCCCCTGGCTGGTGGAGATCCCAGAAATGAAAGTTGAGGAAGGTATCACCTTTAAAAAGTTCTCAGGGGTTAAATCATCATCATCATCATCACGGGCAGTTTCGCCTATCTCTCCCATACATGCTTATTTTGCTTGTTAGCAGTGGAAATATTGGCAATGTCATGTAAAACTGTGGTTTGAGTCGTCTTGTGTTACAATATACAGTAAAGGTACAAAAGCCAATCGTGCAATGTCAGTATAAAAACAGAGGTGTTGTGCTATTTAAGTACCGGAGCGAACTAGTATCAGTAGAACCCAACCTGCTAGCTAGCCCGAGATGGGCCTGGTTTTATTGTTGTCTTTAACTAACGCCAACGTTACATCACTGGAAATGTTTACAGTTTTGGCTGTTCCAAAAATGAAAAGAAATGAGATGTCTGCTGCCTCTTCCTATGTATCAGTTAACGTTAGCTAACAAAACAGCTACAATGCTACCGGCAGCTTTTAAGGTGGAACGTTGTGTTTCCTGTTGGTGCACGAGTCGGTGCCATAAACCAGTAGAACACCGACGGGCATTACACCTGTGCTATCACATCTTTGTGTTTCTGTTACGAAGTACTAAACCCTACAAGACTGTAAATAACAAATTAACGTCTGACTGACTATGGTGATAAAAAAAAATCCACTGGACATGTAGCAAAACTAATCAAGCTGTGGTAAAGTTTAACGTTACATACCTTGTACGTGCCTTCGTGTGATGTCAGCTGTGTTGCCATTTGGTAATGGCTGGACTACTGTGATCTGAGCTTGAACCAGGGATGACTTCATTACAAAAACATTGCCGCTGCAATATTCTTTCAAGCTAAGGTAAATGTACCTCCCCTAGCAGTTTAGCAACCTCTCCGAATAACTCGGAAACGAACTTTTCTTCCTCCACCTGGCCCGTTTCGGGTTCGTTTCCGGTCTTCCATTTATTATTCGAGGCGCATACTACCACCTATCGTACTGGAGTAGTCAATACACCACTAGACCTACATTGACATTGTTAATATGCTGTTGCTTACGTCTGAAACTAAGAGCAGCCAGTCACATAACTGGCCCCGCCCTCTTGGTCTTGATTGACAGATAGTCATTATGCTGAAAAGCGGCATTATGAATTAAAAAGGACACTGGGGAAAACAGCACTGTGAAATAAACTTTGGAAAACGGAATTTTGAAATACAAACTGCTGGAAATTAAAAAAGGGTTTTGCAATAAACTCAATGTGAAAACGAGCATGATGAAATAATATGATGAGCAAAATTTTAAAACCAATGAAAACTTAATGAGCCGAATTATAAAGACGTTAAAAATATAAATGATTCCAGATTACACATCCGTTTTTTTGTTTGTTTGTTTGTTTTGTCGACCGACAAAACAGTAGCAAAAGAATACCAAATGAAACCAGTACAAACCAAGTCATTTGGCATAAATCACATTTTATTTGATATTTCTTATACATACATTAGGCTTGCCCCATCATGGTAACATTGAAGTTATACCAGGGTCCCATTGAGTATTTTGACACATCTTAGAAAGATAAAAACAAAGTGATGTTTGCAGGACAAATATGATTAAACAAAAAACAAATTCTCTGTATCTTAACTGAAGAGCGATACTAAAAGTACATAATTACAATAACATAACTAATAAGAATGGTGATTTTCTGGTTGGTAATTTTGGCTAGAAATTCAAATCATAGTTGCAATAATTCATAGTAAACTTAGAGAACCAAACATTTTGGCTAAATTTGGCATCAGTGTGAACATGATTCATCTCAAGCCTTGTCCAGTCTATAACGTGGTGCTCTACGACACTGGCTTCCACTCAAACACAGAATAAAGGTAGCATAACGGAACAAGGAATAAAGGAAGATCGCCAATCAGGTTTTAAAAGAAAGCAATGAGGAGTTTATAGATATGCGTCAATATCACAATATAAAAAGTAAACAAAACTGGCAAAATTCACATAATTAGCTCCTTATGAAAATATGGTTTAACTGGAAAGCGTCAGAACAGCCTATATGCATCTCTACAGTTTACACTCCATCACATGCTGCGCTTTGATGATGGAGGTCCAAACAGACAAAATAAAACATGTTTTAAATGATTTTCCCTTTTAAACATGTAGTTATATTTCTAGTAAACGTATTTTGTGCTAACGGCCAACCACAAAACAGATTTGTAAAATTAGCCAACTCAGTTCATATGGATACTGCTAAAGATTAAGCAAGAGAGCGATTTACATCAATTACTAAAACCTATACATCACCAAAACAAAGCAAGCTTGTGTTGGAGCTTTAATCGATGGCAAGTGTGAAAAGATACATTAAAAAGCAGATATGTCATATATTGGTCATTGTGCCAGAAGGCGAAAACATCACTACAACTCATGAGTTGGCAGTATGTGCAATATTCAAATGAAAACTCTCACTACATGATAACTGGAAGTTTCACATATTTCACCAGCCCATTAAAAATGAATCATCTGGCTCCTCTGAAAACCACTTCTACTGAAAATCCTCTGAGTAATAAAACATGCTGTGGACAGGAATATTCCATAATGAACACCACACTCTCACTAAAAAAGACAGATCTTTTCTCCCTCCTTTTACCCCCAACATGTACAATAATCTTCAGTCCAGCAGCGACAATATGTAAACAACACACTGAGAGGGTGGAGCCTAGCTATCATGGGTAGGGATTGGCTGAAGGATCTGATGGACACTTGTTAGGCAGGATGCAGTCGGCTGACTGCCGTAGGCTGGAGGGGTTGTAGTCAAAGATCATTCTCTCAGCTGGAACACAAATCACATGCGGAATGATTATTAGATACACAGTGCTTACAAACTATACACTTGTAAAACAACATTTTACAAAGACTGGTAAAACACTCTTACTGTTTCTGCTGCTGTCAAGAGGAAAACAGTGTTTGATCTCAACTGCAAAAAAAGCCAAATAATGAATTTGTACTATGGTTTTGAATATAAACTGAAAAAGGAGAAATTATATTTTCTTCTTTCACTGATCTATTGGTAAAGCAAAGTGTTCTGCTACCAGAGAAGTGGTGAAATCAAATGGTTAAAACATATACAAAACTTAAACTCCATTGAGAATTTACATTATGCCTGTAGCTGGAAGTATTTCACAACCATTTTTTTACTCAAACAATGGAAAACTGTTTTGGAGCCTCATTTGTACAGTATGTATTAAAATGTGCTAGTAGTGAATGTGTTTGGCAGTAAATTTTTAACATTAGGTTTATGAGAAAATGGTGGGAAAAGACTGAACCAAGAAATCCTTCACAGTTCAGCAGCTGGGAGTAAAGAAAGGTGCAGTGCTTTCTACAATGCCTCATGATGCTACTATCCACATTAGACCCTCGTTATTTTATAAGAATATGTTTTGTTGTGTTTAGGATACCCATCATTATTGTCAGCCACACACAGACGCTCATGAGGTGACCTTACTTGGTGGGCACAGTGGGTGAGCCAGAGCGGTGGAAGTGGATGTTCTGCCACTTGCTGTCGCGGCGGTGCCAGATGCGGGTCTCCTCTGACTGCATGGTACGAGGCATGCCGTTGCTGTCAATGTACTGGGTGAGGCGAATGTAAGCGATACAGGCGGCCTCCTCCCCGATCAGGTGGACGTGGGGATTTAGAAGGATGGTGTGGATGGGTTGCTTCCCCTTAGACAGAGCTGCAGGAGCAAATAACATGGAGGATGCAGAAAAGGTGGAACAAGAAATTAAGAACATTGAAGAAAATATAATCAGTGTAAAACTCTGCAAGCAATTGCTTTTTATAAGTATCTGTCTTCAATCATATTTTGAAGGACTGCATGATTTATTTTTGAAGATTTTCCACATCTTTCCAAAACATATTGCATTTATTTAAATGAAAAAAACATTTGGCACAAAAATCTAAAAGTTGTTGATCATTTTACATTTAGATGCACATGATGATCCACAGAAACATTTTTGGATGCTTATATTAACATTTCTCTACTCTTTTCCGGTGAAACGCAGATTTGATATTTTGATATGTGTGAAGCTAAAGAAGCTCAAAATACAATTTTGTTGGGCGTTCACTCCAGTTGACAAAAAAAAACAAACACTTCATTTACAGTACTTTGTAGTTGCTTTTTCATTTTATTGTTTGACACTGAAATTAAATTCCATTTTCTTCCACTGTTCTGAGGTGGAAGATAAAATCTCAGAAACCAAGATCTCTAAACTCTGGACAAATAAAATCTGAACTACCACTGGAGGTGCTGTGTGTGAAAAAATGACTCTTTAAATATTAAATGTTGTGGAATTTTTTCATCGTAGTCAACCTAAATCAACGATCTTGTAACTTTATACCAGTGGAAACTTAAATTTATTACCATTCTCAAAGTAGAAGCGGTGGAAGTCGGTCCCTTCAACCAAGTTGCCCAAGGCCTCAGGCTCAAAGGATGTGAGGCCAGGATCACATATCTTCCTGAAGCAGTACACAAGAGAGCAGGTTACATTAACAGAAAAATCTGAAGTAGAAGTCTGTCAGATAACTAAGGTATTTGTAAATGAAACTAGCTGAACTGACGTGTAGGCCTCAAAGTCTCCATTGTTGATGGATTCAATCAGCTGCTCAGTGACTTTAATGATCTCCTGCTTACGAGCTGAGACACACAAAGACAAACCAAGGAATGTTAGAGTCGATTTGGATACAAAACCCCTGAGAAATATGAAAAGAATCACAAATTAAGGTAAAAAAAAAATGGACCAATGTGGAACATGATGACATCAATCGAACATCACATCAGGAAGTTCAGGGGTTTGATTTTGATTTGATTTATTTATTCTTTCAAGCATGTAAAGACAGTTGATATGTCAACACACATAATTATACACATATCCAACAAATGCTAATCCAATATCAATTTGCTTATACCTAGTACATGCTTGAATGGAGTAGGAAGAAGTCAGACTTATCCAGTCCTACCCCATGAATACAGCAGACAAGAAGGATCTAATGGTACTTACTGATCTCTGGTCAGGTTCAGGTGATGAGCCCTTCTCTGCAATTCTTCTCCTGTAAGACAGAGTCCAGAATTATTTCTGAAAAACAGTTGCTATTTTTAAAAACATATCATCATGTTTAATGTTAATATCATAAAGCACAGACCACACAATTCCTCCTGAACTCCACATTTTTAAAACCTAAATTCCTTAGATTTCTCTAGATCTTACAGTGATACTTCTCTGTCAGCAACAAAGTGCATTTAAATTACGATTTTACTACATATCATCTCATAATACTGAGGAATAGTGAGAGTGATGAGTACATGAACTTATTCTTCAGGTGGCACAACAAAATCCATTGCGACCAACATTGGGGTTTGCTAAATCTACTGTATGGCAACTGTGTCAAGTTTCACTTTTCTGTAGTATATGAAACAAGATCTGAAATTCATTCATATGACTCAAGTGCCTATTTTGAGACGTACTGAATCGAAGAGTAATATATGATGTGTCGCTACCTCCTTGCTAACAGGGCACTCATCTCCTCCATGAGCCCTCCTCCTCCAGGCAGAGGGCCGTTGCCTCTGGCTTCAGATTTGGCCCCTCCAGCCCCTGGCATGGCTGCTGCCAGAGCGGCCGCCGCCT